CGGGACCATTCCAATTCGCCTCGTAATTGTAGGGGTGCATCTGCAATATTACATTGACCGCGAAAACAGCAACGGCAAAAATACACATTCGTGCATCAACACGGGCATGCCCACAGACGGCGTATAAAATTGCGTGCCGATTACACAAAGAGAACCCAGTGTTTTGACTGCGAACACGAAAAATCAGCTCTTCACAACACTCCGTCCGGAGGTCCTGACCTCCTTCACGGAGTAACAACAGGCGACACACCCCTGTTTTAATTAACAACTGACCCTACCGTCTGCTTGAAGGAAACGCCGCCCCCGACTGCACTCTCCAGACAAACTCATCGAGTGAACTACCGAATAGCTATATCTGAAACATCGCAATGGTCGGTAATTATTCCGCGGACTTGAGCTTTTGTACTTTGCCCAGACTGTGGTAGGTGGCGTTTTTTTTTTTTTTTTAATATTACACCTATGTAATTAGCTGCTTTTCGGATCGCCCGATGGTTCTAAATTAACTGCAAAATGCTCAATATTTTGGCCCTAACGGTCCTTTTGTTCCTAGTTCTTAAAATATTTCAATGTAAGTTTGCAGTTTCATTTGTTTAATTATAAACGAGCCTGCTATAGTCATGTCATGGCTCATATCGTAACATTTCCGGCTATCATGGGGTGCCTTGGCCTGTTTTTTTTTTTATTTCGCCCTGTCGCTTCATATTTTTTTCTGAAAAAAATCCCAGAAGCAACTAATAAATTGGTGTGGCCTTAGATACTAGCGTAGCAAGTTATCGGCAAAACTAGTTGTTTTAACAACAGAAGCCAACCGTACACTTGACTGTTTGTGCTCTATTGGGCCTCCATGAAATACCTGCGTAGAGTTAGTAGCGATAACAAACCCTGGTAATTTTTTATATTCACAACCAAAGATTTTATAAGCCGTCATTTTATTTTGGTAATCGTCCGTCACCTTCCTCATGGCAGTACTGAATGGTCGCTGCCGTAGTATAACGAATGCGGTAACTGTGGTCCCAAACGTATTGTCACATTGCCGCATTCTTTTCATATGTTCAATACACCAGTCAGTCAAACAAATCAGTTAGTTTATTCAGATTGACCACATCTGTGGAAGGATTGACAAAGCAGGTTACTATTACCTTTTCAAACCTGAGACCAGATTGTAATGTATTCTGAGAGTGTTAAACACACATGTACACGCCTGTACAAACAACAACTCAACCAAAACCACTTGTATAGAGGGTTTCACCTCAGTTAGAAAGCGAACGTAGAACAAGGAGTGTTTTTACCTCCATGAAAAATGGAGGTATTGTTTTTGGTGCGTCTGTCTGTATGTATGTCTGTCTGTCTGTCTGTCTGTCTGTGTGTCTGTGTGTGTTTCCGCAACTTTGTGGTCAGCATAACTTCTGAACGCCTTTATGGATTATGATGATATTTGGTATGTTGGTAAGTCTTAGGAAGACAAACGTCAAGGTCAAATATGGGCCTCCTGGAGGATGACCTTGGTACTGCAGCAGAACTTCCGGTTTATGTATCTTTTGTCCTGAACATGCTATGGTCTTGATGTTTTGGTGACAGATAGCTTATCTTGTCAGGAATAAGTGGTGTGAGTTTGGTCCCCCTGGCAGCTTGTTCTGGAACTGCAGGGCACTTTCTGGCGAAATGTTTAAAAGCCAATAAGTCCAGATAGGAACAACATATTTTCATAATTTTTGGTGTGTAGGTAGCTGAGAGAGAGATGTACATGATTAAATGCAAATTATGCAAATGAGGACTTTATTTGCATAACTAATGAGGAAATTCTATAATTACAGTGTTTTACATTATACTACTTTCATACATGTAATGTATGTAATCTATGGCAGGCAGAACATCAACAGATACTAATTATGCCAATGATGACCTAATTTGCATAATTTATGCAAAAATTCTATGATTTCTCAATGGTGAATGATGGGAATGTCATACTTGGGACATCTGTAACTTAATCAAAAGTTAACATACATCGTGATGCATATATCATGTTAATGCAAAGGTAATTTGCATAATTAAAGAAGAAATTTACATTTACATATTAAGCCCATATTTCATGGAGGTATGAAGTCTCGGAATTCTTGTTCTTCTTTTTATTCAATCAACCAATCAGTATCATTTCTTACCTCCATGAAAAATGGAGGTATTGTTTTTGGCGCGTCTGTTTGTGTGTGTGTGTGTGTGTGTGTGTGTGTGTGTGTCTGTCTGTCTGTCTGTCTGTCTGTGTGTTTGTGTTTCCGCACATTTGTAGTTAGCATAACTTCATAACGCCTTTATGGATTGTGATAATATTTGGTATGCTGGTAACTCTTAGGAAGACGAACGTCAAATATGGGCCTCCTAATGGATGACCTTGGTACTGCAGCAGAACTTTCGGTTTTTGTATCTTTTGTTCTGAACATGCTATGGTCTTGAATTTTTGGTGACCAAATGGTGTGGGTTTAGTCCCCCTAGCAGCTTATTCTGGAACTGCAGGGGACCTTTGAGCGAAATCTTTGAAAGCCAATAAATCCAGATAGGAACAACGTATTTTCATCATTTTTGGTAGGTAGGTAGCTGAAAGAGATGTACATAATTAAATGCAAATAATGCAAATTAGGACTTTATTTGCATGATTAATGAGGAAATTCTATAATTACAGTGTTTTACATTATAGTACTTTTATACATGTATGTAACCTATGGCAGATGGAACATCAAGAGATACTAATTATGCAGATGATGACCTAATTTGCATAATTAATGCGAAAATGCTATGATATCTTAATGGTGAATGATGGGAATGTTTGACTTGGGACATCTGTAAGTTAACCAAAGTTAACATCACGATGCATATATTATGTTAATACAGAGGTCATTTGCATAATTAAAGAAGAATTTTATATTTACATATCAAGCCCATATTTCAAGGAGGTATGGGATCTCGGAACTCTTGTTTTGACTAGGATGCCATTGCACTGGGGAACAACACGGCTATACATTTCCGCTTCAACAAGCTTCCAACATGAAAGGTATGTTTACATATTTAAGCCTGAAGCTCGAATAGTGTAAACAGTCAACTGTGTCAATTTGTTAAAGAGGCATGATATTGACAAGAGGCTAAATACATCCTCCCGAACACTATCCGAACTCCCCCTAGCACGGTAAGCAGAGGTTCGGGTTATTTTTAGCTTTTTTTCTGCTTTTTTACTCTTTTGGTTGGCTTGTGTTCTGGGAAATTCTCTGAATCCCAGAGCCAAATCACCTGTAAATATACTACTTCCATGCTGGTCGAGGCGGGACGTAGCGTATTTTAGATAGGCCACTGTAAACGTTTAAAACGTCTCTTGTTTCCTTGCTTTTTTTGCATAAGCGGTTAACCACATTTTTTACAAGTAAATGTAAGTGCTGTTTTTTGTAAGTACTGTTATAGTTTATGTAGGTACAAGCTGCGAATACGTATTACGATAAAGACCGGGCTAAAAGGATTAAAACACTCGCACCGCCGGAAAAGTCCACTAATCTTGTCGGTAAGTGTGTTCAGTAATATAAGAGAGATGGCCAAAACCTAATCGAAGCTAGGTACTCATTCCCACCAGAGTGAAGTGAGGATCTAGAAAAGCTGTGTAAAGTGCCTTTCCTAAAGGCACAAAACCAGTTACATGGGTAGGACTCGAACCCGGGAACACTTGGTCCTGAGCCGATCACGCTGCCGCTTACGCCACACGACCCCACCCCACTAATTGTTTAGAAGTATAACGAGCGCGTTGCGAAACCTGGCGTCTGTAATACAAGTAAGACTCACACAGAAACCATAACTTGTGCGGTACCGGAGAGAATGCGAGTTTCGGCATTTCGTACCAGTCTATATACTAGTAGCTAATAAGTCTGGTACTTTGACCTGTATGAACTTTAAGACGATCTTTCATGTATCATACAAGCTTCCTGTATAGCCAGTCTCTGTGACAACAAAACGCCTTCTTGCCAAAACTGTTCACCTTCGTAGAATGTTTTAATTTTTCATCTGACCAGCCTGTTTTTATAAAGAATTATTAATTTTAGTTGTGTTTAATGTGTCTAAGTATTTGATAGACAGGTAGCGTGTACGGAATCAGCCTATAGTTAATATGTCCTTTTTATGTATAAACTTTTGAATAAATCGTCACCTAAAACATTCCTATTAGACTTTATACAAACAACAGGGTAAAGTTTCCTACCGTTGACAAAGTCCTGGCAGATGATGACCAGAAAGACAGCAGTAAGCAGGCCCCTCATCTGGCCGGTCCGTGCTTATCCAAATCCGCAGGAATTGATGAAGCGTCTGTGCGACCTCCTGCCAGTATCCAAAACCTCGAGTAAAAGGACGCTAAGCTGTGGCAAAGCTCTTATAAAACCAGGAAATTCCAAAGAGGAAACAGGAGAAAAAAAAACAGGGACTGTATGGCCAAGGGCGGGGTTGTCCTTGGTACTCGTACATGTATGACGGAAAGCAAAACTTCACATGGCTCAGCAGCTTCCGAACTATGGCTATCTAAATAAGGGTGCATGGCAAATGGCGTTCTATACCATTCTTTCCACACTATGTAACGTTATGTGCACAATGCACCTATATTATGAAGATCACTTGTCAAAGGAACCTTTTGACTAATCTTAGAGAAATATAAACATTTTTTCAAGTCATCTACACAGTTGATCTACACGTAGAGAGTCGTAACAATGTATGACACCATGTAAATCAAACCCCAAGAGCTGTATTCAATGCAATAACAGGTACACATCTGTATGGGGATTCTTTGTCACATTTCTGGAATTTCATCGCCATTGTTGTTAACACGTCGTTGTTAGGGGTGATGGTTTTGTAAATGCAAAAATATTTAGCTAACTTTCTATCAGTGTGACTGACTTTTAGTTTAGTTTAGCAACCATTTGTTAAAAAAACAAACATACACGTATTCAAATTCGTTGCGCAAGCGGCCATTGTATTAGCTGGGAGTTACAAGCGTGATAATTGACAGCCAAGGCACTTTACACGACCTTATCTTCCCGAACGGTGGAATGACGCCCACTGAGACTCTTTGGCTAATTGATTTGTCTTTTGTAAGTATGGTTTAACCGGACGCCTAACGTATCTAGGTGCAGACAACTCTAGACTTTTTTTTGGGATGGAATATACGAGTTGGTCAAAAAGCAGTTACTCAAGCAACTGGATATGATTTTTGAAAATTCCAAAATCATATGTCTAACCTTCGTCGTCGAATATACGAGTAGTTTGTGTCCATCTCGTTTACGGAGCCTTTTTTTAAAATCACGTTCAGCACACAATAGTAATCAATCAATTCAACGGCACAAGAAAGTGCCCAGAAGTACATAGTAATAACCCGTATCTTTATCGAGTTGTAGGTATGCACATTGTAGTTAATTAGTAGTTTTGAGGTAACGTTTACCCGGATGTCTAACCTTAACCAATCTATCTAAATTCAGAGGACTCTTTTAAACCAGTCCAGATTATGTGTAGTTTGTGTCCTTCTTGTTTACGGAAAATTATTTCATTACGTTCATATAGCAAACGTATTGTTATTATTGTCTTACTTTTGCAGAATATAGTTAATGATGTCAATGTCATATAATTTGATAAACATGATGGTGTAGTCTAGATTGTCCGTTTAATGTTTATTCCAACCAATATTTGATATCAAATAAATTGATGATTAATCGGACTTTGAGAATATGATGTTATTTGCTTTGTGGTACATGTGTAATTCCAGCTCTGTAAAGTATCTACCATTTCAGCTATTACTGGTGTATATGACTTAATAAATAGTGTAAGTATTGCTGTGTAGAGAGCGTTGCTTGTACAGTCTGCCTGTAGGTTAAAATAGACTACACGTATAGGTTATATGCATGCAGATTGTGCATTTTGTACACTGTTCACATTAACCCTGTCAGTTGTTTTAGTCCATTACCAAACTCTACTATTTGTTCACTCTTTTTTCTTGTACATACGTCAGGCTAAAGACTCCAATCTGGTAGAATTGGCGATTTTACCGGTAGAGATCACAATCGGAGTCTCTGCTAGTACAAATTTACAATCTGCGATTTATTATGGCTTCACCACAAAGTGGTGAAGACATATTGTGTTCCCTCATGTTTCTTCTTCTTCTCCTCCTGCCATTTCTTTAAAGGGATTCAACTCAGCCGTTTTTCAGCCAAATGACCTGAAATTTGGCATGGACGTAGAGTGGGCCAATACCCCGACGCGTTTTTTTTCATTTTTTTGAAAATTGTTTTATTTGGGTTTTTTGGCCATTTTCAGGCAAAAAATATACATTTTGAGATCTGGTTCCCAGGTACTAAAACCAAATGACCTGAAATTTGGTATGGGGATACCTTGGACATATGTCTACAAAAAGTCATTCAAGCGTTTGACATACACCACTTTATAATTGGAAAAAATAAGGCTTTTTGGCTATTTTCGGACCAAAAATGTACATTTTTGGCTCCTGTGCCCTAATATTAAATCTGAATGACCTGAAATTCGGTATGGGGATACCTTGGACACATGTCCAAAGAATGTCATTCACGATTTTGACATACACCACTTTAAAGTTATGTAGAATAGGGCTTTTTGGCTATTTCCGGCATTGGAAGGTTCCATTGCTGCATGGGGGTGTAGACTATTGGCAGCCATCGTAGGATAGATCCATTTTCGGTATGGGGGATGTGGTGAAGCCATCTGCTGCATTTGCTCTCAAGCAAATGTCGGCCTTTCTAGTGTTCATATTCACTTTTTATGGCAAGCACGGACATTGCTGTTTGGTAACGTTAAGTTAAAGCAATAGACCTCATCCTCTAGTCATACCCTGACATCAATATCTTTGGTGGTGGTGCTAATATAGAATAATGCGTCTGCATCTGTAATGTTTCTCACATGAATAAAAAACAACAAATTGACCATGGAAATGGGAATCAATTGTGGCTCTTTAATTGATTAAGGTACTAAAGATACAAAGTTAATGCTAGCAAGTTTGTTTGCAAGCAATGTTTACTTCGAATCTCATGGCCTCAGTCTACAAGCTGCTGTTGAGATGACTTAGGTACTAAGCATAAAGGACTTTTTTATGTTTACCTTTGCAGATGGAAGTTATGTTGTTCATGCCCTGTTTCTTCCCCTTCTTCTTTAAACAAAGGAAGCTATACAACCCTTTTCAAACACATACGATCAATGACCTGGCTCACATGTCAGACACTCTATGGTATTGGGTCACACTGTGTAGGAGGACATAGGTCTAGGGCTGGTCATCATATACATGTACTAGGTATAACGTTATGTCAGTGTTTGAGAAAGAATAAACAGGGCAGTAGTTTAATTTGCTTGGCTAAATCATGTGATAAGGTAATGATTATGCAGTTAGTTCTAATTCTTATTACCTGAATTTACTGTGTCCTGACGTTGTTGACGCTGGAATACAGTCATGTATGCACTATGTGGTTATGGCTACATGGTATGTAATTTAGTGGTTCCAATAATCTGGCAATCTTGATGACATCGGTAGTCTGCGTCTGCGAGCACATTGTACGTATGGGCCTTAGTACGTTCAAGCATTTTGATGGTGAGTTTAAGTACAGATTGATTAAAAAGTGATCAGTCATACGATATATATATATATATACCACTAAATAAAAGAAATATTCAGAACACGGAGAAATGTTCTAGTTGGTTTTCTGCAGCATGGCTAATTTGGGGCCGCCCTCAAGGACCTGCGTCGAGCCAGTCCACTTGGAGGGGAAGTAGCCAAGCCACATCCAAGTCACGTAGTTCTCAAAACTCGCCCCGACCAAGTAGCGATGTTTCGGGGTGGTCAGGGTGACGGCGTCCGCCATAGCCTGCGAAGTCCATGTAAACAAGACTGCTTATTCATTTAGAAGTTAACAGTTTTTAAAGACAGAGCAAATGCAGAGCATGAATAGAGGGCGTCCTGAATACAAGGTTGCAGGGAAAAGGTGGTTAACTCCTGTGTCCTGCAGGTTATCACAGAGTGCCTAGAAGCCGGCGTGTTACGCCGAAGGTTGGTTATACTGGCTATACAAAAATACATACAAGATCTACTACCCACGAACTACCTAGTTTTATGTCAAAGTTGACAGTCGTGTTGTAGATGTAGTTTACTCACATCTATGACAGGAGTTGGATCCGTCGCCACCTTGTCACTATTGGCATAGCTCCTCAGATGTTCCATCTTGAGGGCAAAGTACTGAATTCCCATAATCTTCCATAACAACGTCTTCAACGTTGTTCCGCAAATCCTGTTCAATCAATCGAAGATATGAAGGTTTCTGACCAGAGTATACAAAACGTACGAAATGGCACCGTAGAATAAGTTTAGAAGAATTTTGTTTCCAAACTTAATGACTGACACATTTTCTTTTTTTTTTTTTTTTTTTATTTTTTTAACAAATCTTTATTCAACAGAACAAAAGAGCGTACAAAAAGACAAACGATATAGCATAAGAGTACACACACACTGAATTATATAAAAACATTCTACCCAGTCGATATATTTGCTAAATCCCCCCATTTTTTGTAATGACTGATCATATTGTTTTGTTTACGTGCGATGCTTTCTTCTGTGGCTTTAAAATTATTTACAAAGGATTCAAAACTATACAATGAAATAGTTGCGGAATGACGATTCTTGAAAATATACACCTTTCCCAGTAATATTATGAGATTGCATATAATTGGTACTGCTTCATGATGATCACCCAATAGAATGTTCAACGGATTCTCTATATTAAGATAAAGTCCAGTTTTTTGTTAAACCATTTCTGAACAGTCAGCCAAAATTTAAACACCTTTCTGCAATCACAAAAAAGGTGTTTTGTTGTTTCTTCTTCTTCTGCACACAAGGCACACAGTGGAGATTCTTTTAGTTTCCAAATGTATAATAGTCTATTTGTTGCTAAAAATTTATGTATTAATTTGAATTGAAATATTCTGGTAGGGGGGTCGATTGTTATTCTATAAATGAGGAGAAAAACTTCCTTCCACGGAATTATGTCGTTCAGTTCATCTTCCCAGTAAGCCATAATGCTCCTTGGGTGATCATTTACATTGTTGTTTTCTAAAAAGAAATTGTACACTTTTTTATTGATCTTAAGTCCTCTCATCCATTCATAATTACGTAACAGAGGTCTGCGTACATTACTAACATTTCTCACATTATAACATTTCAATTTACTAACAGATTGGGAGACTGTTGATATTAGTCCATTGTAAACAAATTCTGGAATACATGTAGACAGATTAAATTTCGATCTTAATTCTCTGTAAGACAATATTTTCCCATCTGCATCTAAAATATCATGTACAAACAGAATTCCCTGGTCCAGCATCTCCTTCCATAAGAATGGTTCATCATCAATCTTAAAATACCAATTATACCATAGAACATGGGATTGGGAACCATTCTCAGGAGGGTTGAACTGGAATGATAACCACGTGTACAATACATCTAGGAAAAATACACTTACACCTGGGAGCTCTCGCTTCAAAAAAGTTACAACTTTCAATTTGTCATTTCCGATTTGTAAAATGGAAACAGCCCCTTTCTAAATACAATATGTGTGTTTGATAACAGTCTTGAACAAAACCAGAGTGTATTATGATACAGCTTAGGAACCCATGATGCTTTTAAGGAAGCATCAAAGGCGCACAGATTGATAAGCTGTAACCCACCACATTTATATGAACTATACAATACCTTTCTCTTTACCCTTTCCGGACCATTATTCCAAATGAATTTAAATATTTTCTTTTCTATACTGTTGAAAAAGTTGTGATCCGGAGACGGCAAAGCAAGAATATGTGTGCAAAAAGCGAGACAACCAATGAATTAATAACTGTAATTTTGCCATACAATGAGAGTGATCTTTTTCTCCATGGGAGCAATGTGGTGTCTAGTTTCTTAAGGCATTTACTGCAATTGATGGACGTGATTTCATCCATGTTGACCGGGACATGCGTCCCTAACAGATCAAAGGGACCATCGGTCCATTCAACGCTGTACTGACTAGGTATCTCAAAGTCTGTACCTTTAAGAGAACCCACTCTAATTACCTTACACTTATCGTAGTTAGATGTAAGATCGGAGAGTTTGCTAAAATTGTTTAAGTCTGAAGTTAAAGCATTAAATGTGACTGGTGTGGGTTCTAAAGTAAAGTTAGTATCATCTGCATATTGGGCCAATTTGGATTCTATATCATTTGTAATGAGTCCCTTTATGTCAGAGTTACTTCTGATTTTGATAGCTAAGAGTTCAACTGCAACAATAAACAAGTAAGGAGATAGGGGGCATCCCTGTCGCACCCCTCTCTGGGGCATAAAAGGTTTAGATAAATTTCCATAATTGATGATTCTACTAGATATATTACTATAAAGTACTTGTACCCATTTGAGAAAAGAATCTCCAAAGTTAAAGAATTCTAATGATTTTAACACAAAATCCCATCTGATCCTATCAAACGCCTTTTCATAGTCCGTCACAAAAATTATTCCTGGTAAGTTTTCTTTTTCAAATTTTTCAATGATTTCTAAGATTCTACGAATCCCGTCTCCTATATACCTTCCCTGCATGAAGCCGGTCTGGTCGGTTTCTATAATACTATGTAATACTTTACACATTCTTTTAGCGAGACATTTGGACAGGATACGCACGTCGCAATTTAAAAGCGTCAAGGGACGCCAATTGGTTAAAGAGGATGGATCTTTATCTTTCCCATTCGAATCTTTTTTAAGAAGTAGTGATATAAGTCCTTCTCTCTGTGTACCTGACATCTGGCCATGTTCGTAAGCATAATTTAGGCATTCTAACATGGGAACTTTTATGTGATCAAAGAAGACGTCATAAAATTCAACAGGAATGCCATCTGATCCTGGCGTTTTCCCTTTTTTAAATGATTTGATTGCTTGTCTCAATTCTATTTCTGAAATACGACCATCACATTCCTGTCTTTGTGCATCTGACAGGCGTTTAGGGTAATTTTTGGGAAGAAAATCTTCACATGTTTCCTCCGTGAGAGGGGTGGGAGGTTCTTGAAATGAGTACAATGTCGAAAAGAAGTCAGTTTCCATACGAATGATATCATCAGGGTTTGTGAGGACGCATCCATCAGAGTTTCTTAATCTCAATACATTTTTCCTAGCATAATTCCTGTGTTCGAGATTTAAAAAATATTTGGAACAACGTTCCCCTGACTCCATCCATTTACATCTAGATAGAAAATTTAGCCTGTCTGTCTTTTCGCGATATAACATTTCAAGATCCTTTTGTTTGCACTCGTACTGCTCGAGGAATTCTGAGGAAGGGGAAGGGTCATCATCTACCTTATCTTTTAGTTCGTTTATTTCTTCCGTTAAGCTCTTTCTCTTTAGTCAGTATATTGGCTTTTTTTCCATGAGGAATATCTAATGGTATGACCCCGGATACAGCACTTAAAAGTATCCCAAACTATTTGCGGATCCGCCGAACCTATATTGTCAAAGAAAAAATCCTTAATAAATTTTCGGTTTCTTTTAGATACATGGAGTCTAGCAGTAATGAAGTGTTCAGTTTCCAATAACCTTTCCCCCGGGGATAATCAGACAGAGCAAGTGACAAACCTATAAGGTTGTGATCTGATCTAAAGCGGTCTGCTATAACTGTTTTAGAAATTTTGGACAGCAGAGAGAAGGATACCAGGAAATAATCTATTCTGCTTGCCTGTTTTCTTCTTCGCCACGAGTAACGAGTGGCTCGTGGGTTGCGAATTCTCCAAATGTCTACAAGGTCTAATGTGTTC